AACAGTATCCACATTGTGGTTATGTCTGTCTTTTCTTATAATATCCTCTCTTTAGAGATATACCTAAACAACTTTTTATCTTGGAATCATTTTAGATTTATGGGAAAACTGCACAGATAATACTAAGTTCCCACATGCCCTTCAACCAGTTTCCCCTAATGTTAACATCTTACGATACCATATTACAATGATCAAAACTGCAAAATTGGCCAGGTGTGGTGGCTCACGCCTGTAATCCCAGCACTTTGGGAGGCTGAGGCATGTGGATCGCTTGAGGCCACGAGTTCAAGACCAGCCTGGCCAATGTGGCAAAACCATCTCTACTAAAAATACAAAAATTAGTCAGGCATGGTGGCGCATGCCTGTAATCCTACTCAGGAGGCTGAGGCACGAGACTTGCTTGAATCTGGAAGGTGGTGGTTGCAGTGATCCAAGAATATGCCACTGTACTACAGCCTAGGTGACGACAGAGTGAGACTCTGTCTCAAAAAACAAACAACAACAACAAAAAAAACTGAGAAACTGGCCAGGCCTGATGGCTCACATCTGTAATCCCGGCACTTTGGGAGGCCAAGGCAGGAGGATCACTTGAGCCCAGGAGTCTGAAACCAGCCCTGGCAACATAATGAGGCTCCGTTTGTACAAAAAATGCACACCTGTAGTCCCAGCTATTCAGGAGACTTGAGGTGGGAGGATCGCTTGAGCCTAGGAGGTTGAGGCTGCAGTGAGCTATGGTTGTGCCACACCACTACACTCCAGCCTGGGTGACAGAGCAAGACCCTGTCTCAAAAACAAAAACAAAAACAATACTGAGAAATTAACACTGGTGGCACTATTTATTAAACTACAGACTTTATTCAGACTCCACCAGTTTTTCCACTAATATCCCTTTTCTGTTCTAAGATCCAATCTTGTTGCATTAGTATATATATAATTTAAAATAAAACGTATATCCCACTGTACACCATTTTGTTGCTGGCTTTTTCCACTTACTAGTATACCAGAAGGCCAGGCGTGTAATCCCAGCACTTTCGAAGGGATGGGATCCCTGTAATCCCAGCACTTTGGGAGGCTGAGGTGGGCAGATCATTTGAGGTCAGGAGTTCAAGACCAGCCTGGCCAATATAGAGAAACTCCATTTCTACTAGAAATACAAAACCTAGCTGTCCATGCTCCCTTGAACCCGGGAAGCGGAGGTTGCTGTCAGCTGAGATAGGTCACGATTGTGCTGAAAGCGAGACTCTCTCTCAAAACAAAAAAAAACCATAAACATTTCCCCAGGCTGTTAAAATTATTATTATTGGGCCAGGTGTGGTGACTCACACCTGTAATCCCAGCACTTTGGGAGGCCAGGGCGGGCAGATCATGAGGTCAGGAAATCGAGACCATCCTGGCTAACAGCTGAAACCCCATTTCTACTAAAAATACAAAAAAAAAGTTAGCTGGGTGTGGTGGCAGGTGCCTGTAGTCCCAGCTACTCGGGAGGCTGAGGCAAGAGAATGGTGTGAACCCGGGAGGCGGAGGTGGCAGTGAGCCAAGATTGTACCACTGCACTCCAGCCTGGGCAACAGAGCGAGACTCTGTCTCAAAAAAAAAAAAAATTATTATTTTTCTTGAGGTGGAGTCTCGCTCTCCATCTCAAGAAAAATTGAGTGCAGGCTGGAGTGCAGTGGCACATTCTTTGCTCACTTCAACCTCCGTCTCCCGGGTTCAAGCAATTCTCCTGCCTCAGCCTCCCAAACAGCTGGGATTACAGGCTCCCGCCACCATGCCTGGCTAATTTTTGTATTTTTAGTAGAGGTGGGGTTTCGCCATGTTGGTCAGACTGCTCTCGAACTCCTGACCTCAAATGATCCACCCACCTCTGCCTCCCAAAGTGCTGGGATTACAGGCGTGAGCCACCATGCCTAGCCTATTAAAATTATTCTATGCCATCATTTTTAATGGCAGCATAGTGTTCCATTGAGTGGATTTGCCATAAGTTGCTTAGCCAATGGCTTATTATTCTACATTTAAATTGTTTCTAATTTTTCACTATTATAAGGAATGATGAGATGAAAAACTCTTCCACACTTCTGATATACACATCTCTGATTATTCTGCCACCAGAGAAATTCCAGAAATGGAATTGCTGTGTCCCGGGGGGCTCATCCCTCCTCCTTCCAAGTCCACAGCCAGGATTTGGCCCTGCTGCTGGCCCTTATGCCTGAAGAGACTGCTCACCCTCATCCTGAGGCAGACAGAGGAAGGAGCACAGAGAGCTCAAAGTGGACCACCGGCCCTGGATGATGGAGATTGCAAGAGACGGGAACAGCGAGGGAACTCCAGGTCCTTCATGACCTCTCAGGCTTCCATGAGGCCAACCTGATGCAGCTGGGTATCTTGTCTCTGTGGAATGAGAAGGATGCTTGCTCTTAGCCCAAGGACAATGAGGAGGGGCTGTGTGTGGGGCCAGGGCAGAGACTGCTAATGCATTCTGCCAGCATCTTTGGTTTCTCCAATATCCAGCTAGACTATTAGCAGTTCCCCAAGGATGGCCTTGCTCCTCACGTCATCTCCCATTTCCTATAAATGGGAAGTGGCTGGGGAGTTGTGTGTGTGTGTGTGTGTGTGTGTGTGTGTGTGTGTGTGTGTGTGTGGTGGGGGAGGGAAGAGAGAGGAAGGGAAGGGGCCATGGTGGTTTTCCTCCAGCTGACCTCATGGAGAAGTGAGGCCCAGAGAAGTTGTTATTTGCCCAGAATGCCACAGCATCCTAGAGAGTAGTATGGGTTTTCTCTGAGGCTCTGCAGTCACTGGCCAGACTTGCTGAGGGACTGCTGCCTCTGCCTTGTTTCTGGGGCCCAGAGACTGTTTTTTCTGTGTAATCAGGGGCTGTCGGGGAAGTAACTGGCCTGAGGAATTGCCTCGTTTTTTTTTTTAGACGGAGTCTTGCTCTGTCACCCAGGCTGGTGTGCAGTGGCATGATCTCAGCTCACTGCAACCTCTGCCTCCTAAGTTCAAGCCATTCCCCTGCCTCAGCCTCCCCAGTAGCTGGGATTACAGGTGTGCACCACCACACCCACCAAAGTTTGTATTTTTAGTAGAGACAGGGTTTCACCATGTTGGCCAGGCTGGTCTCAAACTCCTGACCTTGTGATCTGCCCACCTTGGCCTCCCAAAGTGCTGGGATTACAGGTGTGAGCCACCACACCTGGCCAATTGCCTCCATTTTATCTGAAAATGGTACCCATCTCTTGGGTTATCCTAAGGATTCAATGAGTTAATACGCACAAAGTATTTAGAAACAGTGCCTGGCACAATTAGTAATGGTTAACTATTATTATTATAACAAGAGGCTACATCAGCAGAAAGAGGGGGATTTTCAGAGCAGAGAGCCCTACTGTACCCTGTATTGGGTGGGGCCTGGCCAGCGCATCCACCTGGTTTTGTTGGGGGGGTGATTGGGTAGGGCCCAGGATCACCATGGGATCCAGGCTGTGTGCTCACTCCCCTGAGCTCTCCTTCCTCATCCCCTTGTCACAAGGCATAAAGCACAAGGGCCCCTGGAAAGAAGTGGTGGGAGGCAGGAGCAAGAGCGGGGCTGTTACTTGTCTGTGGTGGGACAACTCTCTCATGTTCCCCATGTTCTTTCCCAAGCCCGCAAAATAACACCGTCCACTCTCTCCTGGCTCTGTAATTTTCCAGCTGACCTGAAATTTCCCCTGACTCCTGACCTCTTTCCTGGAGGAGAGGGGACACCAGCTCAGAGACCCTGGACTCCACCCTAGTCTCTCTGCTGGCCACAAGAGGGTATGCCAAAGACTTTGGAAAGCCATCGTTAGGAGGGTCCCCAGGTAGAGGTGTGTGTGCTCCAGGGAGGTAACGCTGAGACAGTTTTCAAGTTAAACTTGTTTAGTGACTCAGAAGGTAAATTCTTGGTTTTTCTCTTCTCAACTGTCTCTGGCACCTGCTCTCTGTTCCCCACTACCACCAGGGTGCCACTGTTTTCCTCTCCCTTCTCTATCTCCCTTTCTTCTCTGCCTCCCTCTACCTCTCAACTGGAAGGTGCCCTTAGATCATTAGGCTAACTCCCGCTTACAGAGAGGCCCAGAACATGGAACAGACTTGGCCCACATCACAGAGCTGTTGACACAGGGCCAGCATTGGAACCCAGTGCCACAATGCCCAGTCCAGGGCTAAGGCCAACCAGGTCTTCCCCTTCAAAGGCATCTTCCTGGGACTTTGTAGTATTCAAGTCAATGATCCATCTAAATTGGACTTCTCTCCACCCAATAAAACTCCATGGAGGAAAAAAGACAAAACTGCCCCCCACCCCCATCCCCCACCCCCAGGGCCAGCCTGGGACTCCACTTCTCCGCCTTCACCTGCACGTTTCTATCAAAGGCATTCTGGAACAGGTATCTGTTAGGACCTTGCTCAACAGCTGACAAAGAGAACACTTCATTGGCAATTTATCATCCATTCTTCCCCATACACACTCTTAAGGAGAAAAAAAAAATGGAATTTGGTTTTTAGCGCAGAAAAAGGGATTGAGTTAGCTCTATCTGCGTTGGAGAATAGCAAAGAGCAGAAGGGTAATTCGGGAAGAACGTGACCTCTCCTTTGAAGGGATGGTCCTGGACAGACAGGGTGCAGCTCTGCCTGGAGATCGGGTGGCCAGAATGGCACGCCTGGGTAATGGTCGCAGCAGACTGGCTCCCAGGAGGGGAGAGGAGGTGCCCCGCGAAGCCGGGTAGCTTTCACCTAAATGTTTGGTGGCAAGCGACAGAGGGGGCGGTGCCCTGCCCTAGGTAATGATAGGGCAGTCTGGGAGCCACGCGGGGGCTGCCCGTCGCGGCGCGGCTACAAAGCCAGCTTGGAGACCTCCCGCTTTCTTCCCCTGGGTACCAGCCCCACCCCTCTATCCCCCCTCGCAGCACCCCCCACCTCCGTCCCGCCTCGCCCCGCCCCCCTCCTGGCAGTCCCAGCGCGCATGCTCTCTCCCCCCGCGGAGTAACCTGGAGATTTAAAAGCCGCCGGCTGGCGCGCGTGGGGGGCAAGGAAAAGAGGGGGGAAACCAGTCTGCACGCGCTGGCTCCGGGTGACAGCCGCGCGCCTAGGCCAGGTAGGAGCGCGGCCCCTCCTCTCCCAGGGGTGAGGGTCCCAGCGCGGGAAAGGGAGCACCAGTGCGCGGCCGAGCTCCGCGGTGTCGCGTGTTTTGCGCCTCGCGGGATGGGGCCGCGCGGTGGCCGTCCGGGGCGCTGCGCGCCGAGCCCCGCGCTAATCCCAGAGAAGGGCGCGTCCCACGCGCTCTGCCGTGGCGGGTGCCGAGTGCCCGGCGCCTGCACGGGTCCCCGCTGGGCTGTGCTTTCTTCCGCGGAGGGCGGGCAGGCAGGAGGTGCCCGCGCTGTCCCAGGCCGGGGGGCGGTGTGGGCGGGGAGCGGCCCCTCCCCGGAGCGCCAGGCCGGGTCGGGCCGGGCCGACGGCTGGCTGACCGGCCGCTCGCTCCTGTTGCAGCCTCCCGCGTCAGACTTTTCTTTGGAAAGTTGCGTTTATTTTCTTCTCTTGTCTGGGCTTCACCGGAAAGGGGCAGGATGAGTCACTGTGGCGCGCACAGTACGGGACTTGGGGGATTCGGGACGGGGGCCGACTGCCGCGGCGCCGCGGGGTGCTCAGGCCGGGTTCGGCTTTCTTGAGGAAGAGTGAGAGAGTTAAGAGAGGGAAAGGGGACGGAGCCCTCTTGGACTTTAGACCTGGGGCGAGCTCTGGGTACAGAGTTGGGGCTGGACCGTGTGTGTGTGTGTGTGTGTGTGTGTGTGTGTTACTGTGTCCCTTTTTCAGCCTCAGTTTCCCCCTCTGTGGGGAGAGAAAGGCCGCTGTTTTTTCCTCGCCTCCCTGGTCTCAGGTGGGGAAGGAGAGAGTGCTGCAAACGGCAAACAGGTGTGATGTGGTGGTACCTGGGCATCCCGTGCAGCTTCTCAGAGCTGTGGGCCTAAGCAGGCTTGCTGGAAAAGCCCCAGGGACCTGCAGGTTTTCTCCGGAGTGCGGGTCAGGCCTTCCTGTAGTCTTTCGCTCCCCCTAGGCACTGCAGTCCTGTGAGTTGCTCTTGCCCTTGACCTCTGAATCAGTCTCCATCTTCCTGACAGACACTCTTGACCTGCTCAGCTTTTCCCCACCCCAGGGCATGTTCCCTATGCTTCCTCTTTTTCCAAGGGGCCAGAGTTGGGGGTAGGGAGGGGTTTGGCATGGTGGGTACCTGGTAAGGACTCGCCCTTCAGCTGTTACACAGACCCGATCCCAGTGGAGCAGGGACTAAGAATAGCCCAGCTGCTGTCTTGCTGCCCTGGAGTCTGCAGCCGGGCATTGCCAGTTGACCAGGGCCCAGAGTGACCCTTGCTGGGGTCCTGGAACCTTTGCTCAGGGGTGGGGTTGATGTCTTAGGGGCTTCGGACTACCTTTCCTGATGCACTTAGCGGATCTCCGTTCAGAGCAGAGACCACCTTGGTGTGGACTCACCTGCCCGAGGGCTGGGGAACAGGCTGGCCTGTGGGCTGGGAGTGGGAAGGGCCCGGGAGGCCCAGGCTAGACTGGAAGCCTGAGGAAACCCATAGAGCAGCATATTGTAGGGGTAAGTGGAACGTAATTTGAGGTCGCAGGCCATTCTGTTGGATCAGTCCCATTCCCTCATTCCTCCCTTATCTCCTCCCACCAGGCCTGTCGTGGAGCCAGGACTCTGTTATTCTGAAAGTGCTCAGAAAATGGAGCTTGAGTCAGCAGAATGAGTTTGAAGATAAAAATACAGCTGTGGATGAATGTACAGCTGTGGACAGATAGGCCCCAATTTAGTGGGTGTGTGTTAGGGGGAGTTTTCCTATGTATTCATGGAGTGTGTGGTGAACTTCCCCATCCCTCCTGGCTCCCTGAATAACCTTGAAGGAGGAGGAGGAGTAGACAGTGATCCCTGGTGGTCTCCTGAGCCCCTTCCAGGCCACTGGGTGGTGGAGGGATAGTGGAGGCCTCCCTCCCGCTCTCCCCTTACCCAAACTGGAGCTCTCAGCCTGGGGAGGGCTGGTCTGAAGACTCAAAGTAAAGTTAACTTGAAGACTTTAAGCACTATCATCTGGACGTCACAGCCTGATAAGTCAACGTTATGAATAAAAACCCAGACTATCAGATAGTTTCTTTTCTTTCTTTTTTTTTTTAGATGGAGTTTCACTCTTGTTGCCCAGGCTGGAGTGCAATGGCACGATCTCAGCTCCCTGCAGCCTCCCCTCCTGGGTTCAAGCGATTCTCATCCCTCAGCCTCCCAGGTAGCTGGGATTACAGGCGCCCACCACCACCATGCCTGGCTAATTTTTTGTATTTTTAGCAGAGACGGGGTTTCACCGTGTTAATCAGGATGGTCTCAATCTCCTGACCTCGTGATCCGCCCGCCTTGGCCTCCCAAAGTGCTGGGATTACAGGCATGAGCCACCGTGCCCCGCCTGAAAGACAGTTACTATATTGGCTGCTTCACTAGGTGAGCTCCACCAGCTTGGCAGGTTACTTAACCTCGTCCAAGCCTCAGTATCCCTGGCTGCAAAATGGGGATAATACTTACTGTATAGGTTTGTCAAGTAGATTATAACAGACATAAAATTTATAAACATATAATTATGTAATATATAAAGTCTAAAAATTATAGCTTTATTCACTATTATATATAGAGTACTAAACTGTGTGTCTGACACATAGTAAGTGCTCAATAAATGTTAGTACCAACTATATATTATATCAATCATTTGGGACTGAATGGACAGCAGTGTCTAGCCTGGGACTCTCTTCTTGGGCCTCGCTCTTAAAAAACAAAGCAAAACTCTGCTCTAGACCTTATTTCTTGGGTAGCAAGGTCTCCTGGACTTTGGGGAGTCCGTTGAGAGATTGAGCTTTGGCAAAATGATTTGAATCTGGTTTCCTCTTGTGCGAGTTATTTAAACTGTTTCAACTTCCTCCTCTGTAAAATGAGGATAATAGTACCTACCTCACAGTATTTCCAGGATTAAATAAGCTGATGTAGGTAAAGCTCTGAGCACAGCAGCTGCTTGTAAAAAGAGCTTGATAAATGTCAGCTGCTGTTATTTGGTGACAATGGAGCCAATCATTGTGGTTTACACTTAGAAACCAGAGTTTCTTAGCAAGGGAATTAGCCCATAGATAACTGTATGTAAGCTACGAAGGACACATCTGCAGTTGAACTTGTGGTCCTGTGCGAAGATCACACCAAGATTGGATGTCCATGTCTCTCGTCTACTACTCTGCTACTGTGTGACTTGTATTTAATTAGTGCCGAAACCCCTACCCAGCCTACCTTCCCAGAGTATACCCGTCAGGCTGGAAAAGGGTACCATGGACATGAATGTATATCCTGAGAAGTTAAGAACCTTCTATGCAAACAGTTATTTGTTGTTGTTTTTAGGAAAACTGCATAGGGAGGGTGCCCTGAAATTGGGATTCTGCTCTATCCTCCCTCCCCAACCCTTAGGATCTTTTGCACTGTTCTTTGGTGTCCAGAAAAAAAAACCCAGCCTAGCTTTCTCTGAACAGTTAGTGGCCCTGTTTGCTGGGCAGCAGGGGTGGAGACTGGACCAGCTGGTACCAGGCCCAGTGTCTTGAACACTGATGCCACTCGACTCCCAGCAGTAGAGCTGGAGTGTTGAGCTTTGTCCAGTGTATTAAGTGTCCCTACTTGGGCTAGGGAGGGGGGCAGCTGGTGACAGAGCCATCATGGGATGCTCCTGATCCCTGGCCAGAACTTCCTGTTGAATCCTTTTTTCTACTACATGGTCTGTGTTTTCCCCTCCACGGGAAGAAATCCACAGTTTTGCCACCGGCCCTGACTGACTTGTGGAATCTCTTGCTTCTGAGGCTGGACATGGGCCTGCTTCCCCTGTTAGCCTCGACTTCATTGCCTGTAAAATGGAGATAAGATTCACCTTGCATGGTTATGGTGAGGATTAAATGTGATGTGCATATTCAGCCAAGCACCTGCACATGCGAGGTGTTCCATAGATGTTTCCTTTCCCCTTCTTTGTTACTTCTGGAGATCACTTTCTGGGGAGCGGGGACCAGCCAGCAAGAAGGGGTTTGGAGGCCACCTCCTGGCACTGTAGTCTACAATCCCCAGTCACCATATCCAGGATAGACAGGATGCCCAGCCAGAGAGGATACCCTCGGGAGTAGCCAGCCCACAACAGCAGTTCTTGTCTTTCCCCTGTGGTCGCTGTGTGCCCCCCTGCCCCCTGGCCTTGCTAATCTCAAGTGTACTTTGAGTTGGCAAATAGTGTTCAAGCTAGGAGTGCCTGGCCCATCCCTAGGGATGTGGCAATTTAGATTCCCACTCCTGGCTCCTGTCCTTAGTGACCGGAGCACCCAGGTAGCTTGAATGTGGCCCTGCCTGGATCCCAGGCACACTGGTAAAATCACATCTGACGGGAATCCTGATTCAGCCTTACCCATAGGCCTTCTATTGGGCACCATCTTTTCTCAGGGTCTGTGCTTCCTGCTTTCCAGGAGCTGAAGCACTAGTGGGAAGGACGGCAGTGGGGGAAGGACTGCAAATCTGAGACCCTGAGGACTGTGGGCAGCCTCCAACCCTGGGGACTGCCTGGTTAGAGCAGTTGAGATACAGCGGGGAGAGGAGATACTTGACTGCTTGGTTTCCAGGGGGCTGTGGAGGAGGTGTGAGATTTGAGCTGGGTAGGGCTCAGGTGGAAGGGAGAGGCAGTCCAGGAAGGGGAAGAAACCAGAGCCTGGTGACCACGTTGGAAGCAAAAACAAGCCCAGTGCTAATGAATTCTCTTATTTGGGGGCCCATGGAGGTATACTGAATCATCTAGTGACACACAGATAGCCAGCCCAGGTCTGAGATCAAAACCCAGTCTCATGATTTTGAGTCCGGTATTGTTTCCAGCACACCTCACTGGGGCGAGGCCAAAAGGAGGGGTGGGAGTGATTAGAAGTCCCAGGCTCCAAGGGCCTTGGTTTACAGACATACACCCTTTTCTGCTGTTGGGGCTCAGAAAACAATACCCCAAAGTGAAGGCCTCAGAGGCAAAATTTCTGTCTGACCTCCTGTCTCTCACCCCT